AGAGAAAGTTTTATCCAATTCCAGTAATACTCATAACTAGTATAAAATGGGTACAAAGATAAAATATATTAGTTGGCTCATTGTGCAAGCTAGATTAACCAAGCTTAGATGTAACCATGATTGACTATCTTGTACTTAAGTTAATTAACTCTAGTTAAATGTCTAGAAGTCTAGTTAATTATCCAGAAGCTTATGGAGCAAGCTAAGTTAATCCTAGTTTAAGAATAACCTATGTTAGCTTAAGTTAATTTCAACTACCTAGCCTAATCATTATAACTACAAAACTAATGATTAATTTTAACAAGTTGTTAAGATGTCGCTATCAAAGCCATGTGACTTAATTTGTAGCTTGGATGGAAAGCTTGGCTTAGTTTGGATGTTCAAACCACTTGCGTAAGTAAGTGGACATTCAATACTAACGGGCCAAAAGGAGTTTGGGCCATCCAAGCCTAAATAACTCTAACAAGAATTAGCTAATTAAACCTCCCCTAATCTACTAATTACACCTTAAGTAAAAATAATACAGGGACAAAATTACCTACACTACTTGACCCAAAATACAAGGCTAAAATAAAAGAAAATATCTACAAGGAAAGTATTCAAAAAGAATAGTGAAATATGAAATAAGCCTATAGCTCAACAGAAGCTTAGGCCTTTTACCTTCACCTTAAGCCCACTCCTATTGCATTCTTCTTGATGTTGCTCTTGGTAAAGGTCCTATGGCCTTCAAAAATGATTTTCCATTATCAAGGTAACTCATGAGGATACTGAGAATGTCCTACACTCATGAAGCAATGGACTAATAAGAAGAAGGCCAAGAAAAGTTTGATGGCCACCTAGGAGGAACTGGATAGCAACAGTAGCAGAAATTTAGACAATGAGAAAGCCAACATTTTCCCCAAGGTTGATGCATATGACACATGCAATACAAAAATAGAGGTTAAAATCTGACTCTGAATCTTATTCTTCTAATGATTTTGATGAGGAAGATATGTCCTATGAAACTCTTCTGGCAAACTCTTATACAAACTCTCTTGAGTATAAGAAATTTAAAGAAAAATGTAGTCTTACGAGAATAAAATGTAAAACTCAAGAAAGACATATCAAATGTTATTAGAGAGATTTAGACTCTCAAACAAGAGATCATTAGCAATGTCCACCCTGAGATTACAACACTACCAACAAAAAATACAAAACTTAGGAAGGATCTTGCTAAACTTGTCGAAAGATCTTCTAAAATGAACATGTTTTTAAAACATAGAAGACTTCTATCTGACAAAATTGGTCTCGGGATTGAATATGAATTTGAGACCTCTGAATCTAGACCAAAGACTACTTTCTGGAAAACTAGTGGAAAAAAGGGATAACCCCCAAATGCAAAAAAAAAAAAAAAAAAAAAAGTCAAAGGTTAAGCACAACAATAACACAACCTTCCATTATGAAAGCCAAAACCTTTATGAGATCTTGAGCAATTCAACCCCTTACGGAATCAGAAGAAAACAAAAAATAAAAACCCAATAAGTACAATTAATCAAACATAACAAAAGCTGGCAATTAAAGAAAAAACACAGAAATTTAACGAGATGGGTAAGTTAAAGATCTGAAATTTATTGAAAGTGAGAAAGAAAAAACCATACCTTTGCGAATCAAATCAAAGGGATCCATGGGGGAGGATGGCATGAGATCAGAGGGGTAAGAGAGGGAGAAAAAGTGAAGCAAAGTTTTTATTTTTATTTTTTTTCTGGAAATTAGAGCTTGGAACTATCTCTCTCTAGTATTGTTATCTCAGTTATCAGTTTGTGTTTTTCTTTTCTTTTCTTTCTGTTTTCTCTTTCTCTCTCTTATTGCTTAGTTATTTGGTTGAAGCTAATACCAGCACCACCACCACAAAAATACTAAAGAAGACACCCAACCTTTCGCCGCTCGATTTGACCCCTATCTCTCTCAAAAAAAAAAAAAAAAAAGTCTAAGGTTATGGATACTAACAAGAAAGGACCCAATAAAATTTGGGCACCAAAGTCTTAGATAATTTTTGTTGTAGATATCCTTAGTGGCTGCTCACAACACATGACGGGGGAAAAGGTTTACGCTCCTAGAACTTCAGTGATGGAAGTTGGTTGAAGTATGAAGCATGATTCCTTTTCTAATGACTTCCTAAGACCTTTATCTTTTTCCTTGAGCTTCAAGAATGGTTTCCACCGAAAAAAAATAAAAGAAAATGAGAGTAGAAGAAGGAGTGGAGAATGGTGTGCAAAAAGCTTTAAAGAGATTAAGTAAGAACCCTAATCCACAAGGAAGGTTTCCTTGTGGAGAGTTCTTAAGGAGAAGTTTCTCCAAAGGACTCTTGAAATTGAGAGAGATTTCAAGATGAAAATCTGATCTGAATTTTATTAAGCTAAAAAATGATTTGAAATACAAAGGAAATGGGTATTTATAGACAGACTTGGAGCCTATTAGAGCATGCTTGGAAAGCATGTCTCAAATTAAATGGAAAAGAACTACTAATTATTTTTAACTTCAAATGCATTCACCTAAACCCAAAAACTCCTACACTAAGTGCTCCAAATATACAAGATCACGAAAAACCTATATAATAAATTCTAAAATAAAAGTACAAAAAAACAAGACTAAGAAAAACCTATATAATAAATTCTAAAATAAAAATACAAACAAAATAAGACCAAGAAAAACCTATATAATAATGATATATTTAATGCATTCGTCTTACATAGACAAAGTGTTTCATCTTAAAGACTAAACGTCATCATAACCAAACATCTAATCTAACCATCTTTCTTATTAAAACCATTTCTTTGTTAAGAAGGTTTGAGTTTGTCAACATTAAAACTTATATCCCCAAGGCATCTAAGATCATCCTTTGATGTAACAAAACTTATTTTGGGATTTAGGGCATTTCAACATAGGGATATTTACATAATTTCATGGATTGTAGGTACATGTGGTGTAGGTAGCATGATACCTACCCCCGCCCGTTTAGAATGCAGGTAAAATGTATTCATGCCCATGGATTGCATATACTTATTTGAAAAACTCATTAAAAATCCATTGTGGATTTTACCCACTAATATTTGTGGGTGTGGATTTTTTTGCCATCTCTACTTAGGTATGACTACCATACACAACCACCAAAGGACCATTGACCACCATACACCACTATCAAAAGTCATAATTACTAGCACTATGACACCAATATTCTCTTTTTCTTTTTTTACTTCTTCTTTCTCCCTCTTCTTCTTCCCTTCTTTTGTGGGTGTAGATTTGCCTTGATAAAGGCCCATCTTGTGACACAATGGATTAGATCTAAAACAACATAATGAGGGAGTGGGAGTTCAGATCTACCACTACACAATGGAGGTGCACAAGTTCAAATCTTGCATGATGCAACAAAGACGTGTAGGTCTTTTGTGATGCAATAGAGGTTGTCCAATCATGGATCTTCTACAATAGAGCACGAATCTATTGCAACAGAGAACAAATATGCTACACAAAGGTGAACAAATGTGTCCAGATTTGGTGTGAGGTTGTAGAATGGAATGACAAAGGTCTTCGTTCAACTTTGGTTGTTTGTGTTCTGTTATGAACTTCAACAAATGGAGTCTCCACAAAATGGATGCATGGTAGTCAATAGTGCTTCAATGTTAGTCGATGATGCTTCATTGGTGATCGATGACATCTCAATGGTGGTTAAAAATAACAATTGTTGGGAAGTGAAAAATACAAAAAATATTCTAGTCTAGAGAATGCACCTTAATAATTTGCACCTTATGTTTTGCCAAAGGTTGATAATTGTGGTGTATGGTGGACCACCTATGATGGTGTATGATGGTGGTCCACCTTAGAATTTGTCACTAATAGTAATCTTGTGTAAGGACATCTTTAGGAACTTCTCCTTGATGAGAGTTTTTTTTTCAATGAAAATATTTTTAATTTTTTTTTCCTTCTTGTATATTTTAATTTTTATTTATTATACATATTTTTAGATTAAATTCAAAATTTTAAAATAAATTATCAGAAATTATAAAAAAAAATGTATTACAATATAGATTAGTTTTATAGATATAAAATATTGTATATATATAT